GAACTTCATGTGGGGTGCCAGGAAAAAATAGCAAGTGATATCCTTCAATGAATGGGGTCAGCAAGGAACCAGGAGAGGGACCCAGCATGCCACATGTCAGAGCTCTAGTAGGGCTCTGAGATCATTCTAGAACCAGAGTCAGGGGTTAACCTTCCCTGGAAGGATGTTTCACCCTGAGCTAAGAGGCTTGTGGTACCAGTGAGACCTGTGACTAAGGGCACAGGCCAGGCCCAAACCTGCTCTACTCACTCCAGTCTAGGTCTCCTTTCAAAGAACATAGGTCTGGACTGGAGAGATGGCTCAGTGGTTAAGAGGGCTTGCTTCTCTTGCAAAGGACCCAGGTTCAATTCCCAGCACCCAGAAGGAGGCAAACAACCAACCTTAACTCCAGTTCCAAGGGATCCAACACCCTCCTCTGGCCTCTGTGGGTACCCAAAGGCACATGTACATACATACACACATAAATAAAAAATAAATCTTAAAAAAAAACAACACCTAAATGTGGGAGCAGGGCTGGAGCTGGGATGAAGCAGATGGGTGAAGCAAGCTTGAAGGAGTTTCCAAAGAGTTCTATAAGGAAGACCAATAACATTTTGACACAATATTCTAAAATATCAAATTAATGCAAAATAATTCATGATGATGAGCAAAATACCAAATTTTCAAAGACTAAATAAAGGCATGTCCTTGAGTGCCTTGGCCTCACACACTGCATCCTACTGGGACTGGAGATCTCAAGGTGACTGTGCTAGATAGCTTTAGTTGTCAACTTGACACACCTGGGTAGAGGGAGCCTCTATTGGGGAACTGTCTCCACTGGACTGGCCTGTGGCCATGTCTGTGGGGAATTTTCATGATTGTTGAGTGATGTGGGAGGGCCCAGACCACTGTGGATAGTGCCACCCCTGGGCAATTTGTCCTGTGTTGTAGAAAGCAGGCTAAGCATGGGCCAAAGGAGCAAGTCAGCAAGAGTGTTCCTCCATGGTCTGTGCTTCAGCTCCTGCCTCCAGGTTCCTGCCCTGAGTTCCTACCTTGGTCTCCCTCAGTGATGAACTGTGACCTGGGCGATATAAGCCAAATAAACCCTTTCCTCCCCAAGCTGGTATTGGACAGTGACAAAGGACTGAGTCCCAGGTCCCATGGAAAGCTGGGTTGGGGTAGAACAGTGAACAATGGCTTGGGGTAGAGCAACAGGGTTGGGTGAGGATCAGAGCCACAGAAAGGAGACAGAGCAACCAGAAGACACTGCTGGTGAGAGAAAGGTCCACAGCACCCTGCTCCTTGACTTGACTCAGAGGTCAGCCCTTTACCTAGGCAAGCTGCACCCCACATGCCCAGTGATCTCCAGATCCGAAGAACTGACCCAAATGATGCCCAGCCTCCCCTAGCCCCTCCAGACTCCCCCAACTATAATTTAATCTAAGCCTTTTCATCACAGGGGGACAGAGAAGATCATCAGACAGCTGTGGATAGCCTTTCCTGCCTTGGAAAAACAGCCCCGGACTTTCTGACTCTCTTGCTGACAGCTACCCAGGGATGAGAAGAGAAACATATTCTTAACCCGCTGACAGCAACTCCCTTTTAAGGCATGTCCCAGCGCAAACACATCTCCTCCTGCCCCCAATGGGAACAGCCTTTAGTTTTCAGTGAGAGCTTGAGCTTTGGGGTCAGACAGGCCTAGGTTCAAGTCTAGCTTTGCCATAAACCGTGTGACTCTAGATTTGTCAAGATGACAAGTCACCAGCTCTGGCTTCTGGGGGTTTTCTCCAACAGTAATGAAATGGTATAATGTAGGCTGAGGAACAAACCAGAACTGAGAACACAGGAGCCACAACTCAGCACTAGCACTGCTTCGTTAAAGATGCTGGCCAGGGAGGAAGAACACCAGGAGTTCAAGTTCATCGTCCCAGACACATCAAGTTCAAGGCCAGCCTTGGATACAGGAGACCAGGTCTCAAAAACCTAAAAAAATGTCGGACTTGGTGGCACATGCCTTTAATCCCAGCACTCAGAAAGCAAAGGCAAGTGGAACTCTGTGAGACTGGTCTACATAGCAAGTTCTAGGCCAGCTGGGGCTACAAGGAGACCCTTTCTCAAAAAAATAAATAAATAAAGATCTAATTTTTAAATTTTAAAAATAGGCATAGTGGTACATATCTGTAATCCCAGCACTTGGAAAATGAAGGCAGGAGGATCAGAAGGTCAAGGTCATCCTCAGCTACATTGCAAGATCAAGCCAGCCTGGGCTACAAGAAATTCTGTCTCAAAAAAGTGAGAATTAAATTTTTTAAAGTCCTGGTCCAATCTACCAGCATTTCAAAAGAAAAATGTTATGTGAAATCTAATGTTGGCAATCAATTTTAAAATTTTTTAAATTTAACCTCCTAGGGACAAATAAAACAGTCTGTGTGCCAGAGCCCACCCACTGATCCAATGTCTGCCCCTCCAGCAATGAGGGGCACCTAGCGCTCAGCAAGCCCAGGGCCCCTATCTTTCAGAAAGCAAGCACAATCAACATCCTTCTCCACAGGACAGCTTGGGCAGGACACTTCTTAGGAGGGAAATAAAGATAGGAAAAGCTGAAAATCTGGAATGCTTGACAGGAGGGAGGAACCGCAAAGAAGGAATTCCTTAAAAGGATCTAGAAGGATTTTATTGGACATGGTGGAACACAGTGAGGGATAAGATCAGGTCATAATTTAACTCCTGAACATGGCCTGAGAGTCTGAAACTACTTGGGGGTGACAGGGGATGGAGGGACACCTTGTCCCTGCTGTGCCAAGTCTTCTGTCTGCCAGTCAGCATGTGACTCCTGTACCTGGAGTTCTGATAGGCCCCGCCCACAGGGACAGTCTCTCCAAAGGTGGCCATGAGTTCCCCTGATCCTAACATAAGGTGTTTAGTTTGAGCCTGGCAGCTGAGCTAGGATTTCCTGTGAGCTCTGAAGTCAGACCTGACAGGGCTGGGACTCAAATCTTGACTAGCAATGATTCTCAAAGTGAGACCCCAGATCAAAGAAATTGCTAGAAATGGCCCCAGAGAGGACCCACTGAATCAGAAACTCTGGCAGTAGGACCAACCATCTGGAGGAATTTGCAGAAGCCCCTCCAGGAGACTTGGGACACAATGAGGCTTTGAGGGTCTCTGCTCAGATCCTGGTCCTGCAGTCCTCTGTGGAGACAGGCAGCAGTTGACAGGCTTAGAGAATGAACTCTATCACAGGACTAGAGATCCTCCAACAATCACCTAGGTTACTCTGACTACCTGGAGGTGTGATCACCTATGCAGCTACTCTGACCATGGGGGGAGGAGGGGTGGAGGGGGTGGGGGGTAAAAGTTGCTAGCCAGAGGGAAGACAACAAGGTCCTTGTCCTGGTGGGATGTGATGCTCAGCAGGGAACATGTAAAAAGGATGGGAGCATGGGCCCTTCTAAGCAGGGGAGAGATACATCACAAGGACAGTCATGTTCTCAACATGTAACCCAGGACCACCAGCCACAGATGTCCACCCAGCCTCGCGGTCCCTTCCCAGCACTCCTCACTGGCCTCCTCTCTGTCCCTGGCACATTGCTGTCTTCCCCTTCCAGGCCTCTCTGTACCTGAGACCTTTGCTGTATCTCCCTAGTGAGGTCTCCTCCAAAAGTGGTCTTCCAAAAGTGGTCTCCTCTCCCCTTCTTCTTCCAGGCTCAGTGTGCTGACTCCTCTTCCCCGAGTCCTCCTCCCACCCTTCTAGCTAAAGAGGCACTCTCCTGTCTCTAGGCCTCTGTCTACTCTGCCAAACCCTCACCCTTACTCTCCTAGTGTGTCCTCTACCCCAGCAGGAGAGTTCTTAAGGCAGGTCCTAATCTGTTTTGGCCATCTGTCTCCCTCACCAGTGGGCTCCCCTCTCAGGACCAATCCTAACCTTCTCCAGTGAGGCCCCAGAAGGAATAGGCATCCCAGCTCACCCTGCAGGGTCACTGTGTATCTGAATTGCTTCTCTAATGGAGGAGAAAGAGCAAGCCTTAGAAAAAGAAAGAGGTAGAGCATCCCAAGCTATGCAGATGGCTCCCTTCTCCTCCCAGACAGAGCCCTCCCACCCAACCCTGGAGACTTATGAAACTTCTACCAAACCAGAGGCCTCCAGAGTCCCCAGGTTGTCTGAGTACTGACTGGCACAGGACCCAGAGACTAGGTCCCAGTGCCCAAGACCACCAAAGGAGGGGGGGCAACTGGAGCATACATCTCTCTGGGGCACTTGGGACCCGTGCTTCCACTAAGAAGCTGAAAAGATGGGGCAGGACCTGGGCCGCAGTGGCGGGAGGGGCTCAAGGGCACGCGTGAAGACACGTTCTTGTGGCCCCAGAGACACAGACGGTTTGATAAAGCATGTGGCTTCCGGGCTGCCACGCATGAACGACTTTCCAGATGCGACACTTGCAGATCCTGCGGCAGTTCAGAGAGGGGCCCAGGACCTCGCGTGCGCCTGGACGTGCAGAGAAAGGTACGAGACAGGGTGCACCGGGACCCCAAGATGGGGACGCCGTAGGGGATGGGGTCCCCGGACAACGAGCCGTAGAGGCTCTAGTGGTGGCATGCTCAGAGCTTGGATGGAGGTGCGCGAGAGGTCCACAACCACCCGGGAAACATGTGACAGACAGGGCGCACAACTGGAGAGGTGACAGCGCCGCGAGGAGGTACAGCCTGGAAGAGGAGCGCGGTGACTTAAAGGGCAGGGTGCCCCCCGGGCGCAAGAGAAGCGGGAAGGGACCGGGATAAGGACCTGGAGGAGGACTGGGACAGGACCAGACGGCGACTGCCGGGGCGGGGGATGGAGAAGGGCCAGGGCTGTGCGCCCCAGCTAGCTGCAGACCCGGCCTGGGCGCGCGGTGGCATCGCCGTGACTCGGTCCCGGGGTGGCTCGGTCCCTGCCGCGGGCCTCGCCGGGCGCCCGCCCCTCTCCCCGCCCCGCGCGCAATCCCCTCCCTCCGTCCCTCCTCCCGCCTGGCTGCCTCACTCGGCGGCTGCCGCGCCGCACTCCCGGAGCACTAGCAGCTCAGCGAGGACCGGGAGGCGGAGGCGGGACGGCCGGGGTCCGAGCGCGCAGCCCAAGGTCCGGGGCCGAAGTTTGCCCGCAACCCCGAAAGGCCAATCGGGCGTCACCCGCAGCTCGCAGAGCCCTCCTGCATCCCCATCTCTGCCTCGCCGGCCCGGGGGAACCGAGCTGCGGCCCGGCCAGCTCCGGGGCGGAGACCCCGCGACTGGAACTTAAGGTAGGAACTTCGCGCGCTGCAGTTTGGCCGGACCCTGCGCCTGCAGAGCCGCGTACCCGGGGCGCCGCACGGGGCCACCGCCCGGATCCCCCCTCCGGGTGTCTCGGCACTTGCCGGGGAGAGGCCAAAGCAACCGAGGACCAGGTTGGCGATGCCGAATGCGCCCAGGCGGCTGCAGTGCGCTCCAGGTCCCGGTCCTCTCGAGAGGTTCCTGGGACCTAAGTGAGGGCATCTCTGGCTCCAGGACCCTTGCAGGGACTCCCGCATCCTGGCTGGGGGAGGGTTCTCCCGAGCTCCCCAGCCGGATCCCAGCAGGAGGAGGACTTTGGATGGAAAGGTTGGCTTGCTCTTTCCCAATCTGTAGGCACTGAACGGAGCACCCCTACCATTGTCTTATTCAGTCATTTATTAACTACGAACTCAGCAAGCGCTTATGGAGCGCCTTCCATATGTGGGGTCCTGGAGGCACAGGGACAGTTCAATGCATCTAGTAGGGAAGTTAGGGGTCTCCTTAGCCTCAGGATACCGGTGTCAGGGAACCCAGCCTGTTTAGCTTGGAGTCTTTGAGTGGGGAAGGAAGAGACCGGTTCATTCATTACTTGTGTTGCACAAAAATTGGCTGAGCACCTACTGTGGGCAGCTCACCATACCTAGTTCTTAACATTCATTCATTCATTCATTCAACTATTCAACAAATACTCATTGAACAGTGAACAGGATGGAGACAGCTTAGGTAGAAGCAGAGGTTGTGACTCAGGCCTAAGGAAGGTCACAGCCTGCTGGGGTGGCCAGCCCCTTAGCGCATGTGTATAGACCCATGTGTACAGTCATAATGTATCCATTCTCCAGTGAAGAGGCTGGTTCCTAGAAAGAACTAGTCTTTTAAAAGCTCCTTACAAGAGGGTGATGCTAGGGGGTTGAGAATGGTCACCTATGTTACAGTGAACACAGCCTCCCACTGACAGGGTTTATGAGCTAAGCTCTTATTCAGCAGGCATTTTCTTAAGCATTTGCTGTTTGGATGCATTCATGGGGTACTATGTACCAGAGTTCCCCAGGTGGGTGATAGGCACATAGTCACCCCTTTTGCTGACACCCTGAGCTAATTGCAGAGGGAGGCAACAGGAGGAGGGGGCAGGGATTGGTTTGATCACAGAGGGAGGGAGGAAGCTCTGCCTTGGTGACTCTGGGTAGATATTCACTAAGATCTGTTTGACAAGCCCCCACAACCTGTGATGGTACTCAGAGCCACTATGGGGTTTCTCACCAGTAGATACACCTCCAGGTTAAGTGTGGTGCTCCTGGAGTGTAGGGCATGGAGTGGGCAGGTAGCAGGCCACGCCCTCTTTCTTGGGTGAGTTTCTGTACTTCTGGGTCTCTAGGCTTTTGCAGCTTTGCAAGGCCACCTGCAGGGAGGGAAGTCAGGTGAGGCAGAAGCATGGCCCCAGGGGATTGCTCTTACCAACCCTGCTCTGAGCCAGCCAATTCCTGTAGAAAGATGTCTGTCGTGGGACACACTCCAAACCCATGAGGGACAAGTGTGCTGGAAACAAAGACACTCTGAGCCTTCCCTAAGAGTTGGAGAGCCCAGGCTGTGGGTGCCCTAGAGCCTGATGGGGCAGACCCAGGAGTCACTTCGAGTTGTCTGCACGGGTGCTTCAGTGGGCTCTGGCAAGAGATGAGGGATCTGTCCCAGGCGACAGAAGACTAGAAATGTTTCCTGAACACACAGGGAACTGGCTCACACAGGACTGAGGGCTTCACCCTAAGGGATCTTGGCTGGGCTGCCCCTCCTCCACATCCCCTTTCCCCAATATGAGTATTTTTCTTTGTCAGAGATCTGAGAATTCACTTTGGGTTGCTCCAGAAATGGAGACTCTTGGGTAGGAAGTGGAGGCTGGGAAGACACCCAGATAGTTAACACAGAGGGACATAGAAGAGGCTGTCGCAGTCTTGATTTCTACTACCCCTTCTGTTATCTGGCAGATTGTCCTTAATGAGCAAAATCAGCACATGAATTTGACCCCAACAGAGCTGAACTGCGCTTAAGGCTGTCCACTGCCTTCTGCTGCTTTCTGGCTCACACCTGCACCTGGGCAGGCAGACAGCGGGTACAAGGATGTGCCCTTCCTGCAAAGTCCTCCCTCCTCTCTCCTCAGGTCCCCACTGCTCCTCTGCTTTAATCTGTGTTCCCCAATTTCTGACAGCAAAGAAGCAAAGGGAGAAGATGGCTAGGTTAGTAATGTGTTTGCCTCTCAAGCACAAGGATCCAAGTTCGATCCCCAGAAGCCACATTTTTATTTTTAAAACCTGGAAGTAGGGCATGTATGGTGGTGCACACCTTACATCCCAGCACTCAGGAGGCAGAGGCAGGCGGATCTCTGTGAGTTTGAGGCCAGCCTGGTCTATCTACATAGTGAGTCCCAGGTCAACTGGGTCTATAGAAAGACCCTGTCTCAAAAGACCGAAAA